ACCTGTGTCCTGGCAACTGCCCGACAGGCCTCTGAGCAGCCGTCCTGGGGGTGGACTTGGGGGTTTAGTGCTGAGAACTTCATTGGCTCCTGCTACAGGTCGGCCTCTGGCTTTGTCACAGTCAATCTGAGTGATCCAGTCCACAGCTCCTGGCTGGAGTTCCTTCAAAGGGTGGGTGGGCGGCGCTCAGACAAGCCTCTCTTTTCCCTGTTTCTCCCCAGCTGCCCCTGGCTGACGTCTCCTCGGAGGAGCACTGGCCGGCGAGTCCTGGCTCAGCTGTGACCAATCAGCCTCTCCCTGGGGCCGCTCTTCCTGCCCACGCCTCCCTGGTCAACTGCAGTCACGGAAGTGAAAGTGCCGGAAAACCCCTGCGCAGCGCCCAGGCAGGTTAACGGGACGCACTGCTTCTCAGTCCACGTGTGGTGAGAAGTGAAAGTCATCTTTGCCTAAAGAATGGCCTCCCAGAGCCGCCCCCATGGGGCCACTTCCTCCAGGAAGCTGGCCTGGATTGCACCCTGACCCTAGGCACCGTCCCTGTCTTCCTAGGTGCTGATTCGAGGTCTTCCTGCTGGACAGGAGGACGTGGCTGGTCGCTGTGCTTGTGTGTGGGGATGGGCTGGTATGGGGAAGGAGCGGAGCATTCCGGCAACCACTGAGGCCTTAGGGAAGCAGTGCCATGCTTACTGGGGAGAGAGGGAGGTGCACTGACCGGGCCCGGAGAACTGGCTGCACCTGGCAATGAGGACATACCCAGAGCCCCTGCTCCCTGCTCTGCCCCAGTGGAGTGTCCAGTGGGGAGGTAGTTGGGGGAGGTCGGGCTTTGTCCCACCATCCACTCTCCTGAGGACTTCCTACCTCTGTGGGCGCCTCTCTCTCTATTTCTGGCTCATCCATTCCTCTTCACCCTCCGTCCCCAGAGCTCTGCAGTCTCCCGCCTCTGTCCGGCCTTCGCAAACCCTCCCTCATGGAGCTGTCCACGCACTGGCCACCCCGTCCCCTTGCGGTGCTGCTGGCTTCCTGCCATGACTGACCCAGCAGTGGTTCCAGGGCGAGCTTCCCTCCGAGCCTGGGGCTGGACTCCACGGTCAGTGTGATTTCACAGCAGGGAGATCCTCACATCTCCAGCCCATCTGCCTCTGCCCCACAGGGTCAGTGAAGCCTGCTGTGTGCCTCTCAGAACCTCAGTATCTTCTTCTGTGACGGCAGTAACAGCAGCACCCCCGGGCTGGCTCCCCAACATGGAGCCCCCCGACACTATGTGGTCAACAAAAGGGAGAACAGGAGGTGGGAGAACGGCGGTGACAGCACGTTGCTCACAGACGCAGGTCCGACGGCCACTATCTGGCCCCTTTGCAGGCACCCTTGGGGCTGCCCGTCTGTCTGTCTGTCTGTGGCCTCAGACGTCTTGTCACGCACACACTGACCTCCCTGCCTCTGGCTGGAGCCCACGGACACCCTGGCCAAGCTCTGCATGATCCGCCAGCTCCATAGCCTGGCAAACACGGGGCCTGCGGCTGAAGGAAGAATTGGGCTGAGACCACCTGGCTGCTCATGTCCACTCCCCCTCCCACCGCACCCCCTCAATGGGCACCTCCCATAATGGGGGCTGCCTGCAGCCTCTCCGGCGCCTCCCTGTGTCCCACTGCCTGGAGTGCAGAGTGAGTGGCCGGAGCTGTGGCCTGGGGTGGGCTGGGCCTTAGAAGAAGGAGGCAGAGGAAGATTTGGGAGGAAGAAGGCCTTGGGAAGACAGAGGTAGAGGCTGTGGTGTGGCGGGCAGAGACCAGGAACACCTGGGGCCAGCAGGACCTGGAGGAGGCAGGACCCGGAGGAGCACGGCCATCTGGCGCCTTAGTTTTGAACTTCCAGCCTACGGCGCTGTGAGAGAAGCCTCTGTCATTCTGGGTCCCCACCCAGCTTGCAGCCTGTCCTTACTGCAGCCCCAGGAGATAGAAACACTGGGGGAAGGCATTCCAGACCCAGAACATTCCAAACCCAGAACATTCCGGACCCAGAACATTCTAAACCCAGAACATTCCGGACCCAGAACATTCCAAACTCAGAACATTCCGAACCCAGAATATTCCGGACCCAGAACATTCCAGATGCAGAACATTCCAGACCAGAACATTCCAGACCCAGAACATTCCGGACCTAGGACGTTCCAGACCCACAACATCCAGAGGGCAGCTGGGCCCAGATGGCCATTTGAGGAGATGGAGGATGGAGAGTGAATGGCGGCGCAGCCCAGCCCCAAGGGCAAGGTCAGTGGAGGGAGCTCAGGCTGACCATAGGCTCTGGACATGACCCCTGTGCCAGGTGGGCTCCGGCCAGGGCTTCAGCTTCCTGCACGGATGGTGCCTCCACAGCATCTGCCCACCTTGCCCGGTCCCCATAACACCCGCCCGCCTTTGCCTGGACCCCTCCACTGATGGTGCTCACCACCTCCCCGAGATCCCATGTCATCCCTCTACGGTGACACCAGGCCGCCTGACTCAGTTTCTCCCCCATGGAGGTCCCAGCACATGGCACTGAGCCTTCTCTGCCTCAGCCTATACTCACCAGGTGGATTTCAAAGTCTCTGTCTCCGGCACCCTCCTTAGGTGACCTGGTTCCCATCCCTCTCTCCTGGGGCAGTCAGGTCACCACTGTGACCTCAGCCTCTTTTTTCACAAAGTGGGTTTGTGGAGACAAGGCGGTGAGAGCCTGCACAGCTCTGAGCACACACAGCGGGCGCGTCATAAACCCAGGACCACAAGCGCTTGTCTTAAGGGGTTCCTTCTGCACCACTGGGCCAAGGGGTCAGTGAGGATCTGGACCCTCCGCCTGCGGGGGCTGGTGAAAGAGCCCAGGGAAGGGGGTCCTGGCCCCCAGATGGCGGCGTGTGCTCTGTGGCCGTCTTCTGATTGCTTACACCTCAGCCCCCTGGACACTGTCAGAGGAGACGAGAGGTTGAGTTCCTCCCATCCGCTGCGCAGCACACGGATGCCTCCCCGCCTGCCACCAAACACGCGGCAACACAGCCCTGTTCAGTCAGCCTTTGCTCTAAAGACAGGAAGGTTCTTCTACTTCAGCTCTTAAAAATATTACTGTTCTCCCCAGAGTTTAAAGCCAATCAGCCTGTTTTCAGGCCTCAAAGGTTTTAGGGACTCTTGGGAAGCCTGTGTGCCTGAGATCCACACAGTGGGGCTGAGGGGCCCTCAGGTCTGTCCAGGATCCCCCCAGTTCCCACAGCCCCCATGACCCCTGCTCCTCCAGCTGGGCGATGCTTGATGCTGAGGCTTTCCGGCATCACAGGGCCCCACATCTGTCCCCTGGGGGCCCCTGGGGTGCAGGATGAGAAGCTCCAAGCCCTGGTATTCACGTGTATCTCTGCTGCCTGATGTGGCCAAGGCTGTCCCATGGGCACCCTGGAATAGGGTTGGGTGGTTGCAGGGACAGAAGGCCCTAGAAGCCAGGTGCAGGACCCCGCACCCAAGTGACACCCTGCTCCCTCCTCACATTGAAGCCCCTAAGCAGGGGCTCCCTGGGGATGGGCACAGTGGCTGTGTACTCTGTGTTAGAGGCCACCCTGGCCGTCCGCTCCTCACCTCCAGCCATGTCAGAGGCCACCCTGGCCCTCTGTTTCATGCCTCTAGCCACCAGCCCCTCGCACGAATCAGGCACAAGGCCACCTCCTGGCCCTAACCTCCTTCCACGGTAGATGCCCCCATCCTTCCACAGTAGACACGCCCATCCTAACAAAGCAGCTGTTCTCCATGCACCTCAGAGCCCGTCTCTCTCCCCACAGGTGAGAAACTCACGCAGGGAGCTGGTGGGACGGGTCTGATCCATGAGGAAACTGAGGCCCAGAAGGAGGGAGCACCTGGCCCAAGGCCACTCCGTGCCAGGGGACAGACAGGGCCGCCCGGGAGAGGATGGGATGGCAGATGCCAGGGCCAGTGAGCTGGTGCTGCCTTGAAGGCAGCTCTGAGTCACCCCCTCGGGAGAAACCCACAGTGTCACTAGCTGTGGTGAGGTCCGGCTTTTGCATGCCAGGCACCTGGGTCTGGGATGTTCCTGCTCACGGCTGGGGCCCTCGTAGGGGGCGGCTCTGGGGTCCCACGGGCACCTACAGGTGGGAACAGCCTCAGGCAGCCGCCGCCAGGACCTGCTCAGGGAATGTGGTCTCCAGAGACGGGGACACCCCGGGTCCCGGGTTCTGTGTGTTAGTGTCAGGGGTGCAGGCAGACCCTGGACCTGACGGCCGCAGTGAGAGCCCTGCGAGACAGGAGACTGCTGGTTCCGGAAGGTTCTGACAGCTGCTGGGAGTGTGGGCACGAGGGCCACCGGGAGACGGGGACACCAGCCTGCAGCTGCAGCCCCCAGTGTCTGGGAGACCTTGTCCTGGGACTTTGCAGGCTTGGGCGGGGGGTGTCAGCAATAGCTGGCGTCCTGCTGGACCGCTCCCCAGAGCCCGAAGCCCCCAGGAAGGCAGGCCCAGGTTCCCCGCAAACTCCCACTGCCCTGCCTGGAATCGTTCCTTGGACAGGGGCCTGGGGTCGGGTCCATTTCCTCCTCACTGGGGTCTTGGGCCGGTGCCCTCCCCTCTGGCCTCAGTTTCCTCATCCAACCTGCTGTGAGGCGTCGCACCTGGAGGGCATCCCAGGAGGAGGAGGGCTCTCTTTGTAGGACCCCCCAATCACTTCCTGACTGCAGCTCTCCCACCCCCAGGAGAACACAGCCCACCCTCCTAGACAGGGCTGAGCAGCCCGGCCTCCAGCATCTGCCTCTGGGTGGGGCCAGGGCACCCGGCTGGCACCTGCCAAGCCCTCACCAGCCCACCTGCCCCAGCTGTGCAGGACCTGCCTGAGGGGTGGCCCTGTTGATATCTGAGGTGAGTCAACACGGCCGCCCATGCCGGCGCTGTCAACAAAGCCCCGCGAAGCTCGAAGGAGTCACAGCCTCGGCACCTGCTGCCGCCCTCTGCCCCCACCCCACCACCTTCCCCCCGAGCCTCTTACCTGGGCCGCCCTTCCTGGGACCCCGGGGTGCTGAGCAGGCAGCAGATGCTGGGAAGCCGCTCTCCAGCACAGGGTGCGGCTGGGACATGGAGCCACGGGTGGATCCCGAGGCTGAACCGGCTGCCCTGTCCCTCAGTCTCGAAGCCGGCATGAGGAGGGCCACCGTCAGGGGCCAACCTGGGGCCCAGGACAGGCCTCTTCCGGGAATGCCTTTCCCGACCTCCTGCAGCCTTGAGGGAAACAGGAGGGGCTGGGCCAGCTGGGGCGTCCTGGAGTTGGGCCTCTGCCGCTGGAAAGCCCAGGCCCTCCTGGCTGCCAACCGGGTGTCCTCAGCCCTGGGGAGGGGGTGGGAGCCGTGAGGCTCATGTGATGCGGGGCGGGCCTGGGGCTGCAGGCTGGGGAAGGTCTCCCTGCAGCCTGCGGGTGAGGCAGCCAGCTGTGTCCCTGTGATAATGGGCCGGAGGCCTGCAGCTGTGCCCCCCACTTCCCCGACAGGAACCATCTGGGGCCCTGCCCTTCACGGCCTTTCCTCGGGCCATTCCGGTTTGACCTTCCAACAACTTCCTCCTCCCCAGGCAGCTCTGGTGATGTCCCACCCACCCTGAGCCCTACAGCGTGTGTTCCTTGCTCCGGGGCAGGTCTGCAGGCCTAAGGGCAGCTCCATCCTGGCCCAGAGCCCTCGGCCTACTCCGCCCACCCACCTTCCCACCAGGGCTTGGCGCTTTCTTCAGTCTGGGGTATTTGGGGGTCTCCTCCCTCTCCGCTTGCCCTCAGTCAGCGGGACTTTCCCCAACACCCCTTTTAGTTTGCCCCCACTCCAGGGGCCACCCTGCTCGTGTTCCTGTGGCTGTCGACTGTGCCCTTGAGCCAGATGGGGCCTCTGACCGGCCTCCCCTCAGCCCTGGCTCCCCCAGCTGCTGGGGGTTCTTGGGCCCCTGATCTGTCCTTAAAGTACCTCCCGCTCGCTGGGGAGGAAACTGTCTCTCTCTGCCTGGCCTCGTGCGCAGGGCTCCTGACCCTCTGTGGAGACAGCGGGGCTCCCTGCCTCTCCGGGGCTGCCTTGGAAGGACCCTCACCCCGCGCCCCAGCGGCCGCCTCCGGAGTTTGCGGGGGTCGGGGTGGGTGGCTTCTCCAGTCTGAGAAATTCCAGAAGCCACCTCAGAGCCCTCTTGGGACCACTCAGACCCCAGGGAGAGTCCCAGGACCCCTTTCTAGCAGCCATTGGGCAGAGAGTGAGTCACATCCCAGATGCTGGAAAAAAAGCCACTTTCTAAAGTGCCCTGACAACTGTCAGAGGCAAGACGAGCTTCCCGGGAGGTGACAGTAGCCCTTCGGCCCTGCAGCCCTGGTGGGCGACTTTTTGGATACCATGGCTGGAGGCTTCGTGGCCTCAGACAGGCCAGAGGTGTGGAACCCGCAGACCCAAGGCCGGTTCACGGGCATCTGTGCTATTTTGATTTGATTTGATTTGATTTTTAGGTCACGCCCGCACACGGTTAATAATTCAAGCTGTGCAGGGGTAAAAGCCGACTCCTTTCCCGCAGGGTCCCCAGGTGTCCCGGGTCTCCCTGTCCTGGTAATCGGGTGTCCTTCTCGAGTTGGTGACAACAAGCTGCGTGCCAGCGCGTGTGTCCAGCTTACGGTCAGAGCGTGTTTGTTACTGCTGGGGAACTTCCTAGAGGCAAGGCCCGCCCGGGGCCTCCCCTGCACTGGGTGGTGGGCCGCTCTGCCCCCAGGACTCAGGCTGGAAGGGACCTCCCTGCAAGCCCGGGGCCAGTCCCCTGGTGCCATCATCGGGTCCCCACGTCCCCTGCTGTTCCCCGCACTCTGGCTCAGGGTGAGATTAGCAGTCGGGGTCCTGGGGGCCCTGACCCCCTTGGTTTCCTCATCTGTGCAGGGTGCATGATCCTAACGGCCTCAGCTCCTAGAGCGTTTCCGGGAGTGGAGACAGCAGAGGCGCTGGGCGGCCACATGGGCCAGGGCCACGGTGGTCACATGGCTGGTGTTTGTCTGTGTCAGTGCCTGTTCCCCACCTATGTGCAGTGGGAGTCTCAGAGTCGGGGAACTGAGGGTCTCAGGGGGCGCAGCCCCCACTCCATGAGGCAGCAGGATGACACCCTGGGTGGGGGTGGTAACTCCCCTCACGGGGGTAGGAGACAGGCTGCCCCGCCCCCAGCCCTGAGGCAGATGTTCGAGGCCTGCACCTGCGCCCCCCGCAGATGGGACACTTCCACTTTCGCAATGAGGCCCTGAGCTCCCCGCCTGGCCCTGTCCTGCCTGGTGTCTAATCAGGGGGTCTGATGGAGGTGGGGTTGGAAAGAGAAGAGAAGAAAGTTGCCCACAAGTTGGGGGCAGGAGCTGCCTCCCACTTTGGCGGCCACCTGGGGTGTGGGCACCACTCCCCACCTCCCCACTACCCGCCTCCTCTCCCCCAGGCCGGGCAGTTGGTGCTTGTGGGGAAGCAGACGTTGGCTGTGGCTTTCAGAGCTGGGCGGCTGGGAGATAAGGGGCTGGGGAGGAAGTGGCTGCAGAGGTGGAGGCAGCAGGAGCGGGCTCGGCTTCTCCCAGAGACTCCTGCTGTCTGCAGCCAGCACCCAGCCTCGCGGGGCAGAAGGGGCCTTTCCTTCCTTCCTAAAAGACCTATTAGGGCCCACTGGGGTTCTGTCGGTGTCCAAGACAGCCCCTGGTCCTGCTCTCTGGGACTATAGGAGACACGGTCCATTAACATGGCCTGGCATGTGCGGCCTGGAGGGCAGTTGGGGAAACTGCCCCTGGGTAGGCAGAGGGGCCCTAAGGCAGGCTTTGGTGAATCTGCAGGATGGCCAGAGAACTGGAGGAGGGTGTGGGGGCAGTGGGGGAGATGATGCCATGTGGGGGTGGGTGAGGAGGTCTTTCTTCAGTCAGGGTGTCTTATGTTTGCCTTCTCTTCTAGCATGTAGGAACCCGCCACCCCCCTCCAACACACACACCCTTCACTGCTGGATAAATAGATGAATGAATAGATTGATGAATGAATAGATTAATCAATGAATGAATGGATGGGTGGATGAGTGAATGGGTGGGTAGATGGGTAGGTGGATGGGTGGATGGGTGGGTGGGTGGATGAGTGAATGAGTGGATGGATGGATGGATAGATGGGTGAGTGGGTAGATGTGTGGGTGGATGGACAGATGTGTGGATGGGTGGGTGGATGGATAGATGGGTGAATGGGTGGATGGATGAGTGGATAAATGGGTAAACGGGTGGGGTGGGTGAATGGGTGGGTAGGTGGATGGATGACTGGGTGAATGAATGTTGGATGGGTGTGTGGGTGGATGGGTGGATAGATGGGTGAGTGGGTGGGTGGATAGATGGGTGAGTGGGTGGATGGATGGATAGATGGGTGAATAGGTGGGTGGGTGGATGGATGAATAGATGGGTGGATGGATGAGTGGATGGATGGGTGGATGGATGAGTGGATGGATGGGTGGATAGACAGGTGGATGGGTGAATGGGTGGATGGATGGGTGGGTGGATGGGTGGATAGATGGGTGGATTGGTGAATGGGTGGGTAGGTGGATGGGTGGATGGATGAGTGGATGGATGGGTGGATGGATGAGTGGATGGATGGGTGGATAGACAGGTGGATGGGTGAATGGTTGGATGGATGAGTGGGTGGATGGGTGGATAGATGGGTGGATTGGTGAATGAGTGGGTAGGTGGATGGGTGGATGGATGAGTGGGTGGATGGGTGGATGGATGAGTGGATGGATGGGTGGATAGACAGGTGGATGGGTGAATGGGTGGATGGATGGGTGGATGGATGGGTGGGATGGATGGTGGGTGGATGGAGGTGGGTAGATGGGTGGGTGGATGGGTGGATGGGTGGATTGGTGAATGGGTAGGTAGGTGAATGGATGGGTGAATGGGTGGGTAGGTGGATGGGTGGATACATGGTGAATAGGTGAGTGGGTGGATGGGGATGGGTGGGTGGATGGGGATGGGAGGGTGGAGGGGTGGATGGATGGGTGGAGGGGTGGGTGGGTGGATGGGGATGGGAGGGTGGAGGGGTGGATGGATGGGTGGAGGGGTGGGTGGGTGGATGGGGATGGGAGGGTGGAGGGGTGGATGGATGGGTGGAGGGGTGGGTGGGTGGATGGGGATGGGAGGGTGGATAGACAGGTGGATGGATGGGTGGAGGAGTGGGTGGATGGGTGGGTGGATGGGGATGGGAGGGTGGGTGGATGGGGATGGGTGGAGGAGTGGGTGGGTGGATGGGGATGGGAAGGTGGAGGGGTGGATGGATGGGTGGAGGGTGGGTGGGTGGATGGGGATGGGAGGGTGGAGGGGTGGATGGATGGGTGGAGGGGTGGGTGGGTGGATGGGGATGGGAGGGTGGAGGGGTGGATGGATGGGTGGAGGGGTGGGTGGGTGGATGGGGATGGGAGGGTGGAGGGGTGGATGGATGGGTGGAGGGGTGGGTGGGTGGATGAGTGGGTGGATGGGTGGATAGACAGGTGGGTGGATGGGTGGAGGAGTGGGTGGGTGGATGGGTGGATAGACAGGTGGGTGGATGGGTGGAGGAGTGGGTGGGTGGATGGGGATGGGAGGGTGGAGGGGTGGATGGATGGGTGGAGGAGTGGGTGGGTGGATGGATGAGTGCGTGGATGGGTGGATAGACAGGTGGATGGATGGGTGGAGGAGTGGGTGGATGGGTGGGTGGATGGGGATGGGAGGGTGGGTGGAGGGGGGGTGGAGGGGGGGAGGTGGGTGGATGGGTGGGTGGTGGGGATGGGAGGGTGGGTGGATGGGGATGGGTGGAGGAGTGGGTGGGTGGATGGGGATGGGAGGGTGGAGGGGTGGATGGATGGGTGGAGGGGTGGGTGGGTGGATGGGGATGGGAGGGTGGAGGGGTGGATGGATGGGTGGAGGGGTGGGTGGGTGGATGGGGATGGGAGGGTGGATAGACAGGTGGATGGATGGGTGGAGGGGTGGGTGGGTGGATGGGTGGATCAATGAATAAGTGGTATATGGTTTTATGGAAGTCTCGTGCCAGCCCACTTTACAGAGGAGGAGGAGGCCCACAAGGGTGCCGTCCCTACTCACAAAGCCTGGAGAGAGGAATGAAAGTCGCAAGGCGGCCCCAGAGGAGGCTGAGCAGTGACATGTGTGGGTGAACCTGACTGGCCACGCCTTGCCCCGGCTTTCTGGTCCTGAATAAGGTGTGGACAGTTGGGGTGAGCCACAGAGGGAGTGGGGGCTGGGGGCGGAGGCAGGAAAAATCCTGCCCCGGGTGTTCAAGACAGTGCGGGCGAAGAGGCCTGGAGCTGGACGCCCAGCCACTCCCCGGCTCAGGGCACGGCTGAGCAAACCCAGAACCACGGAGAAGGTGCCACGGCCGGAGGGCTGGGGTGATTTGGGGAAACCTGGTACGAAGTGATGCAGGATTCCAGGGCTCTGAGACTGCAGTTACTGGGTGCACCTGCCACCCCCAGAGAGAGCAGGTCTGCCCGGGGAGTCCGAGCCGAGGCGCGGGCCGGAGACACCCCAGTGAGAGCACGGAACTGGAATCAGTCTTCACCTTCCTGGTGTGTGGACTCCTTGGGCATTTAGTAAATAAATAAGTTCACAGAATTATGAAGGAAACCCATTTTACCAAAATACAGTTACCACCCTCTTAGAACATTCTGGTGTAGTGAGCGCTGTGCTTTTCATTCAGCCGTGATTTAAAGTGGTGAGGTGTGGGAACTGCATTCTGAGACGTGGCGGTGAGTGGAAGGGGAGGGGGGTGTTTCGTGGTGCCCGAACCCTCCCAAGGCATGGCTGCTTGGGGCCCACAGAAGTGGCCCTGGGGCAGTTCTGTCGGTGTCAACGGCACAGGCACGGCTGACGCCCCGGGAGGTGCCCACGGTCATGGTTAAAGGAAAGGCTAAATTTTGGTTAGAGACTCGACACAACGCCAGATGAAACTGATCCAAGTCCACAGATCCCCTGAATTCTGAGGAAAGAACTGCGGTTCCAGCTTATCTCGAAGGTGTCCCCCCGTCCCGGCTCACCACCTCAGCTTCCGGGAGTCTCCGGTGGGACAGCCGGGGCCGCATGAGGGTCCCGAAGTCACAGGCTGGTTCACACTCAGCGTTTCCTGTCTGTGCTGGGTACACTTGGGCAAATGTCTTGACCCATTTCCTCAACTGTAAAGTAAGAAGGTAACAGAGTCGGCTGAACGGAGGTGTGGAGAGAATTTAATAAAACAGTCCACGTTTGGACTCTCCTTGGTGCCCGCAAAGGTGGGCAAGCACAGAAGAGCAGCTGTGACCCCAGTGAGGTCCCTGGGCCGTGAAGGGGCCAGCCCAGGGGAGAGTGGAATCCCCACACCGCCATCTGGCCGTGCCCGCCTCCGGGGCAGGCATGTTGCTGCTAGAAAGTTCTTCCTAAATTGAGCTCAGGTCGGCGTCCCTGCAGATGCGGCCCCTCTCCGGAAAAGTGCTTTGGAAGGGAGAAGGGCTCTCCCAGCCCCACCGCCGTCTCCTGGAGTCAGCCACAGCCTCCTCCCGCCCCCATGGCAAGAGACCCGCTTCAGTTGCGATGTGGCCGCCCCGCCCCCCTCTTAAACCTTCAGTGGCTGCCCACCTCCCTCAAGATCAAGGCCAGACCCTGAAGGTGACTGGGGGCCCCTCCAGACTCTGCCCCAATCCCACATCAGAGCCGCTTCTCCCCGGGGTGCTTCCTCATCTCTGGGCCTCCCCAGCCCTCTCATCGAAACTTGCCTCACCTGGTGGGCTCCTACCCAGCCCTCAGAGCCCTCAGGAAGTGCTCTGTCCTGTCCTGGACTCCACACCCCCGCACGCCTCCATCACAGCATAAGCACCTTGGGTTGCAGTTGCTGTGGGTTGGTTTCCTCGGACCCACAGGAAAGCAGCCCCCGGCGGGGACCTTGCCTGTCTCCAAGGGCTGTGTTTCCAGCACAAGGCGCAGGGCGTCGTGGGTGATGGCTGGCTGGTGGAGTTTGGCACACCCATCTCTGGGTCCCCCACATGACACCAGGAACTTCTCTGGGCTGAATTCCGCCTCTCCCGCCCTCAGGACTCCCCTGGGACTCTGCCCCACACACATCCCAGGGAACAGAGAGGACACGGCCGGTCTCCCCGGGCTGAGCAGGACGGGCTGAGTCTCCAGGCCCGGCCGCCCAGGGCAGGCTTGGGACCCTGAGGCAGCCCCCAAGGCCTGGGAGGCTTGGTGGCCTTTGCCTGGACAGGAGGGCCTTCCCCAGCTCATCAGCCACCCCAGGAGGGCAGTGGGTGTGGGACAGAACTGACGGCAGTCGGAGGCCACAGTCCCGCAGGACCCGCTGTGCCCTTGACTGGCATCCTCCTCCCGTCCTGAAGTGCATGGGGCTGGGCCCAGCAGGGTGGAGTCTGAACGGAGACCGGCATTTGAGCATCAGGGCAGCAGACAGCCTAGCCCCTGCTTCCTGAGCACCCTGGACTTGCCGGGGCCACTGGTGACCTGGTGGCCTCTACTCAGCATCTGACAGGACTGGAGAGGTTGAGCAATTTCCCAGGTCACCAGCGGTGCCCTGGGGTGGGATTTGGGACTCAGGCTGGGTCCAAGCCAGTCCTCTCCCTGAGGCGGAGAGCCTGCTGTGACTCCACCCACCCAGCTTCCAGGGCACAGAGCCCTCTGCCCACCGTGGTCTCTGATCCTCCCCAGCGCCGGGAGGCACCAAGACCTGTCAGGGCTGCCCATTCTGCAGAACAGGAAACCGAGGCTCCCAGAGGGGAAAGTCCCAACCTCCCTGGGGGTCCCGGGGTCCTGGGCTGCTGCACCCCAGCTGCAAAGGGGGAAGCCCCGCCCAGAGGCCACTTTCCCTGTAAGGAGACCAGGCAGGGTGAGGGCTGCCGTGTGCCGGTGCCGCCCCGGTTTCCCTCTGACTCAGGCGGAGGTGGCTGCCCCTGTGTGGGGGCCGCGTCTAGTCCTCGGGTCCCACTCCGGTGACCGGCCCCCATCTCATCTCCGGTGAGTCCGCAAGGCCACGGCTCTGCCAGTGGGGGTTGGTGTGTGTGCAGCAGAAGGAATGAATGAGGGAACCCCCGCCCTGGGCCCAGGTGTGGCTTTTTCTTGCTCTTGCTCTTCCTCTCCTCCCCTCAGTCCTGCCTGGGTGTTGGCGGCAGCTTAAGAGGGAGGAGCATGGCCCTGGCCTACCCACCAATGTTCTAGAACATTCTGGAATATTCTGCTCTCAGCCCGAAGCCTGGGAACTGGGTAAACCTGGGCCATCGAGCAGCATCCAACATGAGGAAAATACCAAGAGGCTGGTGTGTGGTTCTCCGTGTGAGACGCGTGGTGCGTGGGGAGCGGCAGCTGCCTGCCCTCCAGAGCCGGGGTGCCGCCTCCTGCATCATAGACACCTCCCGCAAGCAGGGCCCAGCCCCTGCCTCCCACCAGTGGCTACTCCAGGCTGCAGTGGGGCCTGGGGCCACGGAAGACCCAGCTAGGTCTGGCCAAGAGGCCCAAGGATATTCCAGGCACCTGGAAGGAACCGGAAGGATCTGGGAGTCTTGGGTTAAGAGTCATGCAGCCTGACCTGCTCCAAACGTGGACTTCGTCCCTGAAGAGGCTGCACGACCCTAACCGTGGTGCCTCCCGTGCAAACGCGAGTGTGATGGACGATCACAGAGCTGTTACTGTCAGGGAGGAGACCACCCTCGTATCATCCTATGCCCAATTTCTGCCTCCAAAGAAAGAAAAAGTAAAAACTAAAAGGCAGAAATGAATCCATTTCAGAAATGAAATCCACAGGCAGACAGCCCGGCGCCACATGCTGGGCCTAGTAGTTAAAGGTCGACCCCGACCTAATCGGTTATGTTGCCTGTAGATTACAGACATTGTATGGAAAAGCACTGTGAAAATCCCGTCCTGTTCTGTTCCGATCATGCAGCCCCCAGGCACGTACCCCCTGCTTGCTCAATTGATCATGACCCTCTCACGCAGACCCCCTTAGAGTTGTGAGCACTTAAAAGGGACAGGAATTGCTCACCGGGGAACTCGGCTCTTGAGACGGGCGTCCTGCCAATGCCTCTGGCCGAATAAACCCCTTCCTTCTTTAACTCGTGTCTAAGGAGTTTTGTCTGCAGCTCGTCCTGCTACCGCTGTACCTCAGAGGTGAACTGGAAGACGAACTGGCCTGTATCCAAAACAAAGAAACTGTGTGTTTGTTTCCATCATTTATTGACTTATTCTGAGGCAGGGTCTTGCTCGGTCACCCAGGCTGGAGTGCGGTGGTGCGACCTCGGCTCACTGCAGCCTCCACCCGCTGAGCTCAAGCAAATCTCCTGCCTCAGCCTCTGGAATAGCTGGGACCGGAGGCGCCCGCCACCATGCCTGGCTAATTTTTTATGTTTTGTAGAGACTGGGCCTCATTATGTTGCCCAGGCTGGTCTCAAACTCATGGCTGAAGCGATTCTGCCTCCCAAAGTGCTGGGATGACAGGCATGAGCCACTGTACCCAGCCTCATTGCTTTTTAATAGTTAGGTTTCTATTGACACTGTTTTCAGAAACACACAAGCTTAGAGGATATAACACAGGCGTGAGGATCACGCAGAATCTGCTTCACTGAACTGGAAGCATTTTAAACATCAGATTCTTTTAAGGCACCTTTGGGTGCCCTGGCCTAAAACGCCCTCCCACTCTGCTTGTGTTCAGTTCCGACTCCAGACACCGAGGAAAGTGAGAGGGCTCGGGGCGGGGAGTCCGGGTTCTCAGAGCGCGATCCCCAACCCTGGGAGCTTGTCAGAAACCCTCGCCCACCCAGGACCTGTGCGTGCGGCACCTGGGGCTGTCCTGGGTCTGCTCCAACTGTCCCCGAGGGGATCTGGAGGGACCAGGTCATCCTCGGGTCTGTTGGAGCCAGGGTGAGGCGGCACTGTGCCTGTCATTGCAACGGTTCTCTCCCTGTGGGTGGGTGGAGGAACTTCCCTGAGGCTCTGGGACCTCCCTGGCCGTTCCAGTCACCTGAGCTCGGAGCACATGTCTGTGGTGCTTGCCGTGGGGGTGGGTCCAGGGTCCAGCCCCTTCCTGGCTGTCACCTGCAGGCTTGACCCATCTAAGGGGGTCCAACCTGGCCGGCCCGGGAGGGTAGGGTCTTCTTGGGAGGAAGCCGAAGGTCGTGGAGGAGAAGTGGGGACAGGGAAGACCATCAGGCTGCAACCCCCCATCGGGCAGTCAGAGGTGGGGGCAGGAGACCATCAGGCTGAAACCCCTCATCAGGCAGCTCAAGGCAGAGGGTTCCATGCCGGGCCCCTGCGCCGCCTCCTGCTGTCACAGCAGGTGGGTATGAGGTTTATCATCCAGCACCCAGGGAAGCTGGCCCTGCAGGCAGGGCTCCTGCCTCCACCCACCTTCCGGCCGCCCCGCCGTGTCCAGGGACCTGCTCCAGCCCTCCAGCCCTGCTTCCTGTCTTCCCTCTGCTCACTCAGCTCCTCCCGGAAGCCCCTTCTCTCCAGCCCCAGGGGGTTTGGATGCTGGGCCCTGGGGAAGGGGTCTTGGGGTCCATAGCAAGGCATCTGAGGCTCCCGGGGCACCCAGAAACCCCAGGAAGGCTGTGGATGACTCAGCAAAACCCACAAGCCCGGGGGTCTCTCAGGCATGTGCTGCAGGAGGGGTATGACGTGGGGTCTGCTCTGAGTGAGGGTCTCAGCCCTTGTCTGCTCCTGGTCCTCCTGCCACTCTGCCCCAGCCACAGCCCGGAACAGCCCACTCCACTCCCACCCTCTGCCCACGGCTCACCCTGGGCCTCTCAGACCCTTGCCTCTGGGACCCCCTTGTGGAGATCTGCCTGCCCCCCGAGCCCCACAGCCCCTCCCTGCTTTTCAGCCCCCTCCCTGCTTTGATTTTCTTGAATGGCAGGTGGCACTCTCTGATGTGCTAAATGTTGTTTACTGCCTGTCTCTCCCACTAGGTCAGCCCCAGGGCAATGAGCTTTCTCTCTCTCTCTCTCTCTCTCTCTCTCTCTCTCCTCTCCTCTCTTCCTTCTCTCTCTCTCTCCTTCCTTCCTTCCTTCCTTCCCTTCTTTCTTTTAAACAGATTTTATTTTATTTTATTTTTTATTTTTATTTTATTTTTTTTTTTTGAGACGGAGTCTCGCTCTGTCGCCCAGGCTGGAGTGCAGTGGCGCGATCTCGGCTCACTGCAAGCTCCGCCTCCCGGGTTCACGCCATTCTCCTGCCTCAGCCTCCCGAGTAGCTGGGACTACAGGCGCCCACAACCGCGCCCGGCTAGTTTTTTTTTTAATTTTTAGTAGAGACGGGGTTTCACCGTGTTAGCCAGGATGGTCTTGGTCTCCTGACCTCGTGATCCGCCCACCTCGGCCTCCCAAAGTGTAAACAGATTTTACTTTTTAAAGCAGCTTTAGGTTCACAGCAAAATTGAGCAGAAAGTACAGAGGGTTCCCCTGCACCCCGGGGCTCAGCATCCCCACGAGAGCGGCCATTTGTTACAGCCGCGACCCCCTGGACGCAGCGTCATCACCCACAGGCCACACGGCCTCGGGGTCCACCTGGTGCTGTGCAGTCTGTGGTTGGAGGAATGTATCCTGACGTGGGCCCACCGCTGTGGTATCATACAGAGCAGTTTCACTGCCCCAGGTCCCCCGTGCTGCTGCTCCACGTCCCTCCGTCCCTCCCTCTCCCCAGCCCCTGGCATTGCTGATCTCAGTGCTGTCTGCACAGTTCTGCCCTTTCCTGGATGTCAGAGTCGGACCCCTACAGCGTGTAGTCCTTAGAGACAGGCTGCTTTCACTCAGCAGTGTGCATTTACGGTCCCTCCATGTCTTTTCTTTTCTTTTTTTTTTTTTTTTTTTGAGATGGAGTCTCGCTCTGTCACCCAGGCTGGAGTACAGTGGCCGGATCTCAGCTCACTGCAAGCTCCGCTTCCCGGGTTTACGCCATTCTCCTGCCTCAGCCTCCCGAGTACCTGGGACTACAGGCTCTTGCCACCTCGCCCAGCTAGTTTTTTTGTATTTTTTTAGTAGAGATGGGGTTTCACTGTGTTAGCCAGGATGGTCTCGATCTCCTGACCTCGTGATCCGCCCATCTCGGCCTCCCAAAGTGCTGGGATTACAGGCGTGAGCCACCGCGCCCGGCCCATGTCTTGTCTTTCTTTTCTTTTCGTGCTTTTCTCTTTCTCTTCCTTCCTTCCTTCCTTCCTTCCTTCCTTCCTTCCTTCCTTCCTTCTTTCCTTCCTTCCTTCCTTCCTTCCTTCCTTTCCTTCCTTCTTTCTTTCTTTCTTTCTTTCTTTCTTTTTTTCTTTCTTTCTTTCTTTCTTTCTTTCTTTCTTTCTTTCTTTCTTTCTTTCTTTCTTTCTTTCTTTCTTTCTTTCTTTCTTTCTTTATGGTGTCTCACATTATCGCCCACCCTGGAGTGCAATGGCATGATCTCGGCTCACTGCAACCTCTGCCTCCTGGGTTCAAGCAATTCTCCTGCCTCAGCTTCCCTAGTAGCTGGGATTACAGGTGCCTGCCACCACGCCCAGTTAATTTTTGTATTCTTTAGTAGAGACGGGGTTTCTCCATGTTGGCCAGGCTGGTCTCGAACTCACGACCTCAAGTGATCCACCCGCCTCAGCCTCCCAAAGTGCAGGGATTACAGGCATGAGCCACCGTGCCCGGCCCCTTTGCGTCTTTTCAGGGCCTGGCAGCTCACTTCTTTTCACTCACTGAAGGGCATCTTGGTTGCTTCCGTGTTTCGGCATCGGCAATTGTGAACAAGCTGCTTTAACACCAGGGTGCAGGTTTTTGTGTGAACACAAGTTTCCAATTTGTCTGGGTAAATACCAAGGGGTGCCGTCATGTAAGACGCTGTCAGCTCAGCTGCATTTCTGTCTGTCGTATTTCCTGCTGCAGCCCCAGAGCCCAAACAGCACACAGCAAATAGACACTCAGCAAATCCTGAATTAATACACGAAGAAAGCAGGTGGACCTGGAGAACGCAGCTCTCCCCAGTAATGTGCCACATCACTCTCCTTGGCCCAACTTCCTTTAAAGTTCCTGTTTTGCTTCCTCCGTGGTCTCCAGGGTGGCTGCCCCGTTCTCCACGCCCAAGGGAGCCACAGAAGGCTGAGTTCACAGGTGTTCTGTCTCCTGTCAATGGATCACAAACCCCAAACTGTGAAGCAGCCAGTGTGTGTGAGGGTCATGCACTTGGGGGTTGCGAGTCTGGCAGGGAACCTGGGGTGTCTTGTTTCTGCTCCAGTGTCTGGAGACTCACAGCTGGGGCAGGACCAGCAGGCAGTACCTCCTGTGGCCTCCTGCTGTGGCCATCCTTCCTCACAGCACAGTAGCCTCGGGGTGGCCAGTGCGCCACATGGCTCAGAGTGGCAAGTGCTGGTGTTTAAGCAGTGAGGCAGACGAGGCAGGCATAGTCAGGGACCAGTGGTGGTCTGGACAGGACCAGGGCCCCAGCACTGCAGGGACAGAGTGACATGGAACTTGCGGCCATTCGTTTTTCTTTTCTTTTCTTTTTTCTTTTCTTTTTTATCTTTTCTTTCTTTCTTTTTTTTTTTTTTGAGACAGAGTCTCACTCTGTTGCCCAGGCTGGAGTGCAGTGGCTGATCTCAGCTCACTGCAACCTCCGCCTCCTGGGTTCAACCAGTTTCCCTGCCTCAGCCTCCCGAGTAGCTGGGATTACAGGCACCCACCACCACGCCTGGCTAAGTTTTGTATTTTTAGTAGAGGCGGGGTTTCACCATGTTGGCCAGGCTGGTTTCAAAGTCCTGACCTTGTGATCCACCGCTTTGGCCTCCCAAAGTGCTGGGATTACAGGTGTGAGCCACCACAGCTGGCCATGGTCATTTTTCTTAAAGCACCAGAGAAGGGAGCTTGGAAATGATCCCACATTTCATTTAAGAAATGAGGAAACAGAGGCCCAGCAAGTATCTGGAACGTCCCCAGGCCACCCAGCCTGTGTGGACAGAGCAGGGAGGGCGGCGGGAGCGTGGCTGTGGCCCGGGGCTCAGCATCCAGCTCGTCTTCCCCTGGGTTCAGCTGTATCGGTCGGCAGGTGCCATGAGAGCGAGTAACAAGCTTTCCTGGAGCATGGTGGCCCGTGGCACCGCCCCGCCCACCCAGGTGCCTGCGGACGGCGGGCAGCGGGTCTGGGGTTTGGGCTGGGGC